ATTAGCAGAGATGGGGTTTCACTGTGTTAGCCAAGTTGGTCTTGATCTCCTGACCTCATGATCCACCGGCCTCGGCCTCCCAAAGTGCTGGGATTACAGGTGTGAGGCACCTTGCTGGGCACTGTCTCCATTTATTAATGGGACTTCTGTAACCTAAAACTGTCCCTTGTCAATTATGTAGTTCCCCTGAAATGTTATAATGGAGAAACTGAGGCTCAGAGAGAAGTAACCACGCAGGTTGCACGTGGTGGAATCTAGTGGGAGTCCTGTTGGGTGACTCAAAGCATAAGCGTGGTTATGTCCCCACCAGGTGGAAGCCTTCCCTGACCCCCTCCCCAGCCTGGCCAAGCCCGATGCTTGCTCTAGGCTCCTGTAGTGCTGGGCACTCACCTCTCAGCAGTGCAAGGGGAAGAGGCCTCCAGGTCACTCCTGCCTGTGGCGTAGAGCAGGCACGAAGAGCAGCTTGGAGCACCTTAAAGGCTGGGGCTGGGTGTGTCGGTGCCTGGCATGGAGTCCAGAGGCCTCAGGACTTGTTAAAAAGATGATTTCAGCATCTTCCCTTACGGCCCTCTGTCATGTTCCTGGCAGAAGTTTAACACTTGGTCAATTAGGGAAATAATGGGAGACAGTTGTGGTGGCTCATGCCTGTAATCCCAGCACTTTGGGAGGCCAAGATGGCAGGATCATTTGAGCCCAGGAGCTCGAGACCAGCATGGGTAATGTCGTAAAACCCCATCTCTACAAAAAAATAACAAAAATTAGCCGGGCATGGTGGCTCACACCTGTAGTCCCAGCTACTTGGGAGGCTGAGGTGGGAGGATGACTTGACCCCAGGAGGCAGAGGTTGCAGTGAGCTAAGATCACACCACTGCACTCCAGCCTGGGCAACAGAGCAAAGCCTTGTCTCAAAAAAAAAAAAAAAAAAAAAAAAAAAAATGTTGGTCATGGTGGCACATGCCTGTGGTCCCAGCTGCTTGGGAGACTGGGGTGGGAGGATCACTTGGGCCTAGGGAGGTCAAGGCTGCAGTTAGCTGTGATCATGCCATTGCACTCTAGCCTGAGCAATAGAGCAAGACTCTGTCTCAAAAAAAAAAAAAAAACCAAAAAAAACAAAACAAAACCAATAAAAACAAGATAATGGGGTCCTGTCAGAGCAGCTGAAATTCTGAGACTCATCTGTTTGCATGGACTGCATTGGAAAAGGGGAGACATGGATGGAGTCATTCCCCACCCCTTTGCCCATGGGAGTAAAGAGGCTGCACCAGACAGCATTGTGCGTGCTTCCCCAAGGTCTGCAGGCTATGCCAGGTGAACGTCCTGCTTGCCTGTGGGATCTGGGCAGGCAGCTTCCCAGTTGGTGCCTATACAAAGTGTGAAAGGGTCAGATCCCAGTGCCCACCCTGCCCCAGCCCCAACACACTGAACAGTTTGCAGAGTCTGGCCTTGTGGTCACTGGCTTGGGAGTACATTTGACAGCCTCCGTCTGCTGCCTTGGGTCCAGGGAACAAGGTGAGCTCTGGGCCTTCAAGCAGCTGCCTGCACCTGCTGTCTTGGGTGTTGGGGACCATGCGTCTATAAGCCAGAATATTGCTTTAAGTATTTTGGGGAATTATGAAAACCGTTGAATCATTGCCACCCTTGGTGGCTATAAAACCAAGTTCTGCATTGTTTTCCTCATCTCTAAGATGGAGACAATGTTACTTACTTCAAAGGTGCCTTGAGAAAATACATGAGATAATGTTTGGGGAAATGCTTTGTAAACCACTGGGGTTCCCCAAGAGTAAAATACGTTGTTGATGAATTCGCCCCGGTGCAGAAATGTGGCCAGCATGAGTTGGGCTGCGGAAACACTCCCAGCCATGGTGGCTTCTCCTCCGCCCTGGGGGACCTGCCTGCCTCCTGCTAGAAAAGTCTGGAGGCTGTGGGAGGATGGGCATGGCCATGTCTTGTTAGGAGGCTCTGGAGCAGGAGGGGTGGCTCAGCTAGGTTCCCCCACTTTGTAGGAGATGGGGAGACAATGTGTTGATAGGACCTGGCTTTGAGTCCCGGCTCTGATTTGGGGGTAAGTCACCCACATCTCTGGGTGCATTTCCTCTTGTGAAATAAACAACCTACATGAAGAACGTGAAGGGGCCCTGAACGCCAGGTGGACATGTGCATGTGAGTGAGCAGAGCCGCAGGAGGAAGCTGGCCTGCAGCCTTCACCCAGATCCCAGCCCTGGCTCGGGTCTGCTCCCTGGGATTGCCCCTCTGCCTGGGAGTCCAAGCTGGAGGCTTCTCAACACTGCCCTTAGTCATGAACAAAACCGCCTTCGACATCCCCCTGCACCTTGCTTGTAAGGTGAAGATTTAGGCGTATTTGTACTTCCTCTGGTCCCCCCACAATTCCCCATGTCTATTCATTTAATTTGAGATGATAGACAAAGATGATGGTTTACAACCCAAGTCTTTTTCAAGAAATATTTCTGGCGCTGGTTTTCAGTTTTGCAACCATACTTACAGGAGCTATTCTTGGACTTGTCACTGTGTCTCTTTTTCAAAGCTTGCCACCAGTCTTTATATATAGACACCTTCTCCATTTTTGAATTTCTTTATATAGACGCCTTCTCCAGTTTTGAGTTTTAATCTGGATTCGTGTCTCGATTGGTGTGTTAAGAGATCATGTATGTGTGGGAAAATAGAAATGTAAAGGGCTCTCCTAGAGTGCACACTTACAGCTAAGAGCCAACATGGTGGTGGAGATGCTGCGGCCGTTGGCGAGGAGCCCGGGGTGCAGGCGGGCAGTGCAGACAGACAGCGGGCGCAAGATCCTCTGCATCACGGGGCCGGGCTGCAGGCTGCTGCACCTGGGAAGGCCCAGGGAAACCTCCGTTGGTGTCAGGATATTCTGACTTGAATACCAGCTTGCGGATTTGAAAGGGACCATGAGATCATCTAGATTGACCTCTGTTCAGACCGAGGTGGTCGGGGTTGGGGTTGGCTCATTTTCTGAGCTCGTTTTTGGAGCAGGGAACCCACATGGCTGGTTGGCGGGGGAGCTGGTGTTCACGCTCCAGCCAGGCTCTTTCTGCAGTGCCCACACTCGGCACTTTGCATCTTTTAAAATTGTCGGGTGTTCCTCTGGTGGCATTGCAGGTTATTGCCATAGTTGGTGATTTGGGCAGAGGTGTTTGTTGGATGGCATTGACCAGCCTTTCAGCAGGTGGCTGTACTGAAAGGGACACCCCATCAGGGCTGTGGGTAGAGGACGCGGCCAGGCTCCTGCCTTAGTCTTCTTGAGCCGCTATGACAAAATCCCATAAATCGACTGCCTCCTTCCTCGCAGTTCTGGAGGCTGGGAAGTCCAAGATCGAGGTGCTGGCAGATTCAGTGTGTGGAGAGGGCTCACTTTTTGGTTCATAGACGGTGCCTTCTCCCTGTGTCCTCATGTGGTAGAAGGGGCGTGGCAGCTCCCTGCGGTTCCTTTTATGAGGACACTAATCTCATTCATGAGGGCTCCACCCAGTATTCTTTGTTTCACTGTGAGGCACCTCACATTTTTGGAAACAAGCAGTGAAAATCAGTAGATAGGCCAGGCACGGTGGCTCACGCCTATAATCCCAGCATTTTGGGAGGATGAGGCAGGAGGATTGCTTGAGGCCAGAAATTCAAGACCAACCTGGGCAACATAGGGAGACCCCATCTCTACAAAAAAATTAGAAAATTAACCAGGCATGGTGGTGCACGCCTGTAATCCCAGCTACTCAGAAGGCTAAGGCAGGAGGATTACTTGAGCTCAGGAGGCGGAAGCTGCAGGGAGCCGAGATTGTACCATTGCACTCCAGCCTGGGCCACAGAGCGAGACGCTGTCTCAAAATAATAATAATAATAAAGTTAAGTATTATAAGTGGGCTGGGGGTGTGGGATCTTGCCTCAAAGAGTAGGCAGGAGGATGAACACGTGAGCGGTGACAGACCCGCACGTTCGAGGATGTGGAATGGCTAGAAGTCTCAGAACTGGAGAAGGTGCAGGCAGACTTTCAGGAGGGGTGGCACATGGGCTGGCTTAAAAGATGAGAGTTTAGAGTTTAGATTGGGGAGCAGCCACAGAGTCTCCAAAACAGCACAGCCGGATGGTGGGGGAGTGGGTCAGCCGTTAAGGGGGAGAAATAGCGAAGAACGCACACAAGCCCTCGGAGGAGGCCTCAGCAGTAAGTGGTTTTACTGGCTCCGGGGTATAAAGATGTTCAGGCCCAGCAGGAAGTTCCCGAATGTCTGTTGTGTGCCCACGGTTCCCAGTGCTGCCTGTATAGTCCCAAACAGAGCTGCTGTCCCCAAGGAGCCTGTGTTCTAGGTGGGGTAGGGGGAACAGTTAATAAATACATGAGTGAATCGAGTTAGTCGGGTGGTGTCGATGTAATGCGTGCTCTGGAGGAAAAGAAAGGAAAGCAGGGAGTCAGGCATGCCCGGCCTGGGAGAGGCTGACATGTTTTCATGGTGGCCAAGGTAGAGACCTAAAGGAACGGTGGGAGGGAGCTGTGTGGCTGAGCAGAGACAGCTAGTGCAAAGGCCCTGTGGCAGAAGCAGGCTTAGTATGTTCAAGGAACAGCAAAGAGGCCAGCGTGGCTGCAGCTGAAGATGGAAGTGGGAACTGTAGGAGCTGAGATCATAGAGGCCAGGAGGTCTTATCGAGTCCTTGGGGCTGTTGCGAGGACTACAGTTTTTACTCCAGGGGAGCTGGGAGGTATTGGAGAGTTTTGAGCAGGGGCAGCCTGGTCTGGCTAATCCTTGGAAGACTCACAAGCCTGCTGAGTGGGGACTGGTCACTAGAGGCAAGGGCAGAAGCAGAGAAACTGGTCAGTGGCCTGTTGCATCAATCCAGGGGACAGGCTGGCTGGGACAGGGTGATGGTTGGGGTCAATACAAACGTGGTCAGGAGGTGGGTGGAGAGACCTGGAAGATTCTTTCCAACGCTGCCACTTGCCCTGGGGGGAGACTCACATTGCAATTTCTTCTCTCTAGGCTAGCTTGTCACTTACTGCAAGGGTTTCCCTCAGGGAGCCTCCTGCTGCTGGGCACCATGACAGTGAGGGGGGCTGTGCTGGCCCCAGATCCAGCGTCGCCCACGACCGCAGCAGCCTCGCCCAGCATCTCCGTGATCCCCGAGGGCAGCCCCACTGCCATGGAGCAGCCTGTGTTCCTGATGACAACTGCCGCTCAGGCCATCTCTGGCTTCTTCGTGTGGACGGCCCTGCTCATCACATGCCACCAGGTACCCAAGCCTGGCAGGGGGCCTCTAGAAGGGTCCAAAAGGTTCCTGGCCCAACAGAGTGTGAGTTAGGCTAGGCCAGGCTGTGCTGCAGTATTAGGTAAGCCCTGTGTTATCAGAGGCTTCCCTTGATAGAAGTCTACTTGTTTTTTGTGTGTTTTTTTTTTTTTTTGAGGCAGAGTCTCACTCTGTCACCCAGGCGGGAGTGCAGTGGTGCAATCTTTGCTTACTGCAACCTCTGCCTCCTGGGTTGGAACAATTCTTCTGCCTCAGCCTCCCGAGTAGCTGGGACTACAGGCATGCGCCAAGAAGTCGCCTTCTTGCCCACGTCCCAGGGCCCAGTATGCAGCACAGGTTCCGACGTGTGACTCTGGCATCAAGCGTCGCCCATCTGACAGCTGGCAGTAGGGAGTGTGCGAAGGCACTCTGGATATTTAACCACCTCCATCCAGAGGCGACACTCGTCACTGTTCACCTTCCATTGGCTGGAGCTAGTCTCGTGTCGAACCTAAGCGACAGAGAGCCTAGAACCGCAGGAGCACAGGGACAGGGACCACTTTGCAGATGAGAAAATGGAGAGCCAGAAGGGGAGGGGAAGAGGAACTAGCCCGGTCACTTGGAAGTTGGTGGCAGACTGGGATAGAAGTCAAGTCTCCCGTCTGCCTGTACTCGTGGCCCCAGAGGAGGCTGATGTGGGCGGGGACTGGCCTTGGCAGCCTGCAGAGGTTTGAGGGTGGTCCAGTGGAGAGGGGCAGGGCGAGTCCACTCGCGTTCCCCAGTCAACCCCTTGCCAGATGCCCTGCATCCCCATCCCTTTTAGAACCCATTTGTGTCCAAGGCCTTTGGCCCATAGCAGATGGAGAATATTTTGTTCTTTTCCTCCCCAGCCCAGGTCTCAGCTGGGCCAAGTGTGATGTCATGAGAGCTGGGACGAGACACCCAGGGGCTGCCGGGACTGAGGACCGTGGTAGAGCAGCTCTTGGCATTTGTGTGTAGCTTTTACTTTTTTCCTCTGCTTCCTAAAAGTAGCATTCATTCTTCTAACTTCCTGGTGAGGTAGGCAGTGCTGCCTCTGTTTACCAGATGGGAGGAGGAGGCACAGCCTGAGGACATCCCTGCAGCCACTCAGCCAGGAAGTGTGTCCACCTGCCATAGAGTGAGGGCCCGGTCTGTCTTGCCATAAGTTAAGGGACGGGGCAGGGCTGCAACCCAGATGGCAGTAATTTAGCTCAATGCTGCCACAGTCACAGCTGGAGTGAGGCAGAGGGAAAGGGCACACACTGATGGCCCAGAGCTGCCTGTGCGTGAGGTCCCCTGGGGAGCTTGTGGAAACTGGATTTCCATCCTCGTCCCTGGCCCTCCTGTGGTCTGGGGTGTGGGCTCACCGCCACCTGCACCTGCAAGACCGTCCGGCGAGCACTGCTGCATGCACTCCACGAGCCTTGTGCACGCCCGCTGGTCTGAGTCTCACAATGGCCTTGGGAGGCAAGTCTTGTCATCCCCTTTTTGCAGAGCAGGGCTCTGAGGCTTGGGTAGGTCCCGTGCATCGGGTCACAGGGTGGCAGAGCTGGAAGCCCACCTGCCCTCCCGTTCCTGCGGACAGGAGGGTCCCCCGCTGACCCCGCACCTCTGCCCCCAGATCTACATGCATCTGCGCTGCTACAGCTGCCCCAACGAGCAGCGCTACATCGTACGCATCCTCTTCATCGTGCCCATCTACGCCTTTGACTCCTGGCTCAGCCTCCTCTTCTTCACCAACGACCAATACTACGTGTACTTCGGCACCGTCCGCGACTGCTACGAGGGTGAGGATGGGGGTGGAGTGGGGAAGGCCGGCTGGGGGCCGGGAGGCTGGGAGCCCCTCTCCCCACATTCCTCCCCGAGGGGCCTCACGAGGACTATCTTGACACATCCCTGGCTTCTTTACCTGCTACAGGGTTTCTGTCCCAAATTGACAGGTAACAGCACATGCAGCCACAGTCTCATCTCACAGGTGCCCGAAGCAGGGACCCTCCACCTGGGTCTCGTTTCTCAATGCCGGCATCTCAGGCAGGGTGGAGGCAGTAAGCAAGTGGTCTGTTTGTAGAGACCCCAGGTGCAGTTGGGTAGGGACCAATCCAGGGATCCCTGGCATGTCAGTCAGTGGCAGGGCTGGGCATCTGTCCCCATGGGTCTTAATTCTGAGGGCTTTGTCCTATGAGTGGGTGCCCTACTGCGCCACCCAGGAAGAAGACTCGATTCCTTTTGGGGACTTGGTTCTGGATATGCAGTGGAGACATCACGTGCTCCTGTCCTGAGCTCTGACCACAGGCGAGGAGCTGGAAAGAGGAAAAGCCAGCCTCACCCCTGCTGCCCTGAGGGAGTCTGTGGCCCCTAAACAGTCACCACAAGGAGACCAGGATGCTGCTGTCACGGGAGCTGGCCTCTGACCTGTCTTGGGCAGGTCCCAGGCATTCCTCCTCCATCAGAGGCCAGCGATGCCCAGGTCTGCCCTGGACAGGCCAGCAGGAATGGAGAGAAGGGGTTCCTCAATTCAAGACCCCTACACTGGGCCAGGTGCAGTGGCTCACACCTGTAATCCATTACTTTGGGAGGCCGAGGCGGGCAGATCACCTGAGGTTGGGAGTTTGAGACCAGCCTGACCAACATGGAGAAACCCCGTCTCTACTAAAAATGCAAAATTATCCGGGCATGGTGGTGCATGCCTGTAATTCCAGCCACTTGGGAGGCTGAGGCAGGAGAATCGCTTGAACCCAGGAGTCTGAAGTTGCGGTGAGCCGAGATCGTGCCATTTCACTCCAGCCTGGGCAGCAAGAGCAAAACTCCGTCTCAAAAAAAAAAAAAAAAAAAAAAAAAAGACCCCTACATTGATACCCTTGCCATTCTCAGAGTGTGAGGTTTCCCGTCTCCTACCCACACCTGTGCTGCTGGTTTTAGATAAAGTGACTGGATGTGGTTTTCCTCATCTCAGGCTGAGCAGCTCTGGCCATGCCCGGTTGTCTGTTTCCCTGACCTGGGAGGTGCTGCCCCAGGCCTGTACTCTGTGGATATTGGGGTGAAGCATGCTCATCCCCCAAGCGGCTGGAGTCTCTCTTCTTGTCTACGTTGAACCTTGTGTATCCCTGAGAACTCATAGGGCACAGGAGATGCCTTTAGGTTTGGCAAGAAAGTGAAGTTGCCGAACAGGAGGATATTGCACCCCAGGCTGTCATATTTCCGCCGGCCCACCCCTAACTGTGGCCACATCAGGCAGGTGCTTCCCAGCCTCAAGGGCTTGATGTGTGCCATGTCCCTGGCCTGCGAAGCTCTTCTGCTCTGCGTGGGGTCCCTCCTTTCCATCCGTCTGTTCCCCGCCACTCACTCCCAGCAACTCAGTAACTTCCCATGTTCCCTCCTCGCAGGCTGGCATTCCGTCCTGTCCTTCCAGGTGAGAATACTGAGGCCAGGTGGGGACCTGCTCAGGGCTTAACTGGGGCTCTCGTGTCTGATGTTCCTGGAAGCAGCCAAGTCTCCAGGGAAACCTCTGGGTCCCTGGGGCACCATAAAGGCTGGAATTGGTGAAGGGTGGGGCTGAGAATCCTCTTCCATTCAGCTGCCAGCCTCGCATGGGTACCCAGGGGCAGCCTCTGTCCACCTGTTCCTTCAGAAGCACAAAGCTGTTCCCTGCCAAGGCGGCCTCTCCTGTGTGGTCGGGGGACAAGTGTGGGCTCTCTTCTCGGCAGGACCCCGAAGATGGGCGCATGGCAGAAGGCGGGGCACACAGCCAGGGGAGCCTCTGCTTCACCCTCACTCCGTGCCCCAGAGGCGGCAGCAGATGGCTGGCGGGCACCCCTCGCTCCAGAAGCCTCTTTGTTCAGGCCCTGCCTGCCCTGACCTGCCTCCCAGCCCAGGGAGAGGTCCTCCAGGAAGTCGGCTGCCCTGTGAAGCACATCTCCTAGCAACGCGATTATCCCTTTGGCCTGGCCTCTCCCAGGGAGTTTACAAACAGCACAGCAGCTGCGGTGAAGTTCAGGCTGCCCCCGAGTTCACCAGCTTTTTTTGTTTTTTGTTTTTTGTTTTTTTTTTTTGAGACCGTTGCCAGGCTGGAGTGCAGTGGTACGATCTCAGCTCACTGCAACCTCCACCTCCCAGGTTCAAGTGATTCTCCTGCCTCAGCCTCCCAAGTGGCTGGGACTACAGGCGTGCACTACCACACCCAGCTAATTTTTGTATTTTTAGTAGAGACGGCGTTTCACCATGTTGGCCAGGACAGTGTCACTCTCTTGACCTCGTGATCTGCCCGCCTCGGCCTCCCAAAGTCGTGGGGATTACAGATGTGAGCCACCATGCCTGGCCGAGTTCACCAGCTTTTAGCATCAGAGGCAGTGGGGCCTGCTGCTCGCCTTGTCCCTGCACCACTGCTCTGGGTCCTAGCCCCTCTCTTGCAGCTGCCTCTGTAGAGTCAGTGATGGGGCAGTCCCTTAAAATTCAAAGAGGTCCCCCCATGTTTTCCCCCTCCCACCCTTCCTTCTAAGTGCCCAAGAGGGACCAGGAGGACCCGGGAGGAGCGGGATTCGCCTGGGCTGGAGAACTCTGCAGGTCCAGCCAGCCTCTCCTGAGGGCCCACTCAGAGCTGGGCACTGCAGTCATTTGCTTGCTTGCTTGCTTTTTTTTTTTTTTTTTTTTTTGAGATGGAGTCTTGCTCTGTCTCCCAGGCTGGAGTGCAGTGGTGCGATCTTGGCTCACTGCAACCTCCACCTCCCGGGTTCAAGCTATTCTCCTGCCTCAGCCTCCCAAGTAGCTGGGACTACAGGCGCATGCCGCCACACCCGGCTAATTTTATTTTTGTGTTTTAGTAGAGACAGGGTTTCACCATGTTGCCCAGGCTGGTCTCAAACTCCTGAGCTCAGGCAATCCGCCCACCACCTCGGCCTCCCAAACTGCTGGGATTACAGGTGTGAGCCAGCAAGCCTGGCCCTGCTTTTGTTCTTTTCTTTTCTTTTTTTTTTTGAGACAGAGTCTTACTCTGTCGCCCAGGCTAGAGTGCAGTGGCACGATCTCGGCTCACTGCAAGCTTCGCCTTCTGGGTTCGCGCCATTCTCCTGCCACAGCCTCCTTTTTTTCTTTGTTAACAAAATTCTGCTTTTAAAAAACACTGAAAAAATTTATGTTTATTAAAGTAATATAGGCATATGGTTGAAACACAAAACTCCTCTAACTCCTCACTCCAAAGTTCACTGTACTTTCAACTCTTTCAGCTGTTTTCTTCCTAGAATGACCTAAAAATATGCTTATACTGGTTTTTGTTGTTGTTTTTCAGTTTTATATACATAGTGACTTCCTATTGTGGAAGGGCTTTGTTTGAGAGACAGGTCTTGTTCTGACATACACAGGTGTGTGCTGCCACCATGCTCCAGTAATTTTTTTTTTTTTTTGTAGAGATGAGGTCTCACTGTGTTGCCTAGGGTGGTCTCAAACTCCTACGCTCAAATGATCCTTCTGCCTTGGCCTCCCAGAGTGCCGGGATTATAGGCATGAGCCACCGCATCCTATCCATTTCCTTTTCCTGTGTAACTTTTTGTTTTTTGCTCCAGTGACTACTTGCCTTCTTTTAGTTTGCTCAGTTTTCTACATACCTGTCATTAGTTTATTCCTAAATACTTCAGTTGAATTTAAAAACAAAACATAACAAAAACCAAACCAGCCCTGCTCTCAGTAAAGCCAGGCCAATCCAGGAATCCATGAGCTCTGCCATTTTCCCCGTGGCGTTTCTCCTGGAACCTTCTCCCTGTGGTGCAGTCAGGAATGCCTGCTTTCCAGGCTCCCGCTGCTCAGCTGTTGCCCTGGCTCTTTCATTCACCATCAGCCTGGAAACTGCTTCTCCTGTGCTGAGTCACCTGTTCCGTGGAGGCTGTTTCCTCCTTGTTCATGGTTTGCTCTCTCCGCCTGGTTGGAGCACGTCTTCCAGCAGCTTCCTGAGAAAGAGAATGCATGGGAGGTCTATTTTGTGGAATCTGAAAATATCTTTAGTATATTGTTCTATTTGACTGGTATTCAAGGGAAATACAATCCTAAGTTGGAAATCCTTCTCCCTTTGAATTTCGAAGGCATGTCTTCACTGTCTTAGATTCTGATGTAATTTCTGGAAAGTCTGCTGTATTCGACCCCTAGTGCCTGTGTGTGTGTGTGTGTGTGACCTGCTTCACTCTTTTTTTTTTTTTTGCTTTTTTTTTCCCTCTCCTCTTTGTATTTAGGATCTTGTCTTAATCCCCAGAGTCCTGAAATCTCACAGGAGGTGGGATAGTCATTGTGCTCAGCAACCTGGCGGACCCTTCCAGCGTGGATGCTCCTGCCTTAAGGTTCTGGGAAGTCTTTCTGTATGTTTCTTTGATCAATTCTTCCCCTCTACTTTCTTCCAATCTCCCTTTCTGGAATTCCTGTTAGTAGGACCTCATGCTTCCGGATTGAGCCTCAAATTTTCTTTCTTTCTTTTTTTTTTTTTTTTTGAGACAGTCTCGCTCTGTCGCCCGGGCTGGAGTGCAGTGGCCGGATCTCAGCTCACTGCAATCTCTGCCTCCCGGGTTTACGCCATTCTCCTGCCCCAGCCTCCCGAGTAGCTGGGACTACAGGCGCCCGCCACCTCGCCCGGCTAGTTTTTTGTGTTTTTTAGTAGAGACGGGGTTTCACCGTGTTAGCCAGGATGGTCTCGATCTCCTGACCTCGTGATCCGCCCGCCTCGGCCTCCCAAAGTGCTGGGATTACAGGTTTGAGCCACTACGCCCGGCCGAGCCTCAAATTTTCTTTATAATTTTCTGGCTCTTTTTTG